TTAGTCATGTTACAATATTCATTTACTGACTTATGTCTTTATTTCGTAAATCATGTCTTAACTGTTAGGTCATAAATTTGCGCAATGTTCTTGACTTTGGAATAAATTCAATGCTTGCATCCCACACTACTTTTGCTGTAAGAAGGAACATTACAGTTTTGCTTATTTCTGAAGTCATAAAGTTTCATAACCATTTCATGATCATAGAGTCTTCTTCGTCCCATGCATCAAATATGGAATCTTTGGGTTTGGATCCAGTACCCAGAAGATGGCTAAGTTTGTTTTTAATTTTAAGGGTGATTTGAATTAATTAGGACCAAGCTTAAATAATTTTTGCCTGTAAAGCGATAGATTGCTTGAACTGGCTGAAGTTCGTTGAAGGAATTTCCCATGTGAGAATATGCTCCAATATTTTAGGATGTTACTTTCGATATTTTTTTTTTTGAAACAAAAAGTGTAAAGTATGTATTAATAAGGTATTAAAAAATCGGAGATACCATCCATGTACAAAAAGATTTACAATGAAGTTAGAGTATCAATAACATTTCTAAAATTCACATTATTATTAATGTCATGACCTAATAACATCGATCCAAAAAATATGTATCCACCTATCTATTAGTTTATTTATACTACTCTCAATACTATCAAAAAGCTCTTTTATTCTTCTTTTTTCAAATGACCCAAAAGATAGTCAAATGCATGATGTCAAGAATGGTAGCTGCACCAAAAAAAAAGAATCATGTCAAGAATGATTCTTTGATTGATATATATTTTATTGAGTATTATACTTCTATATATACATGTTTTCGATGACAGAAAAAGAAATAGACAATTAATTACAATTAAGTACAAAAAGTATAATTTTACCCTTTATCTTTTAGCCTCATTTGCTTCCTCTCTAATATCTTGTTTTACTTCTTTAACAATTATATTTTTTAACTTGATTTACTTCTTTTTTACTTTAACATTCTGATTTATTTCATTTTTAATAGATAATATCAACTTAAACATGCTACTGCGGGGGTTTCCCATTTTACACATAGCAAATCACAGAACTAAGAGCTCTGAGGCCAGTAATTGGGGCTTGGGAGAGAGTTTGTCTTCCTCTAACATATTATTCCATAAAACAGACTAGGACAACAGTACCACATTGGGTATTTCCTTTCCCTACCTATGTTATAAATAGGCAGTCAACCAAGCAGATAAATAATCAAAACTGCAAAAAAGGGAAAAGCCACAGAACTGTTTTTAAGAAATATTGCGTTAATAAGATTAATTGGTTTGCAAATGGTTCTCTCTGGCAAATGCCAGAAGATATACTTCACCCTTGTTGACTCACAATCTACTCAAATGTGAAATCAGAGCTGGTAGGATTGTAGAGTACTTCAAGGACTGCCATGCCTGAAATTTGAGGCTTTTAGTCCATGCCCAAGCTTACACTTCATGTACTTTCTATTGATATATCCCTTGATTGTTATTTGCAGATTGATGTACTTGAAGTTGATGGCGCCTACTACGGTTTGTGTGCTCATTTATGGTTCTTTCTAAATGATTGAGTGGTCTGCTACTTCTGATTGTACATTCCTGCAGTCTTTAGGCCACTTCTAAATCAGCATTTTGTTTTTGTTTGAGATACTCTGAGCTCATTTTTCTGCCACTTTCAAAGGTTGGATGTCTCACTTTTGCAGGTTTCTCTGGTTGTCATCGGTACGAGGCTCATCAACGACTCGGGCTCCCAACAATTCGGTGCAAAGTACGACGAGGAACGAAAGAAACTCTGAGTTATGTTTGATCATCCTGCTAATATTTTATTAAAGTCACCTGCAACCATTTTGATGATTCTTTCGTATCCTATTTGTCTTCATTTTGCAGACATCATCTCCGCTGAGCATCACCTCCACAAAGTTTATACAGTGTTGCAGGAAGTAGGCAGTATTTTGCAATCCTGTATGTGCTTTCCTGGAGTTTGTACACATGATGTTCCAGAAAATGGTAGTAAATGGTTCCTGGTACTAAATTTAGATGGGGAACCGCACTAGAAGATGTACTCTCTTTCCCAACAGAATAATGTATTAACTCTTTAATGTAATTATATTTTTAATTTGTATATAAATTTGTGGATATTTTTCTTCATATAAAATAATAGTTAAGAGAGGAGATGGATCCCTTAAAAGGTATTTAGGTTTTCATATAATGATAGGTAGAGGATCCAATAGATAATGTCATTATATATGTTTATACTTGGTCATATAGGACAAACATCCCTTGTAAAAGTTCAAACTCTTGTCAGGAATTTCAAACGTTTAGTTTGATAATAGTAATGTAAATAATATTGAAATTTTTTATTAAGAAGAATTAAAATATAAAAATTATATTCCTTACACGTTTATTTAAATTGCTCAAATAGAGGTTATGGGAATATTTGGAACTTAAAACAGAAAAAAACATTAAAAATAAATATGATTAACCTCTATTTAAATTTCGAGGAAGTGGAAGAGGTAATTGTTTAACTGATCTCTTGCTGTTCAAGATCCAAGTCATGATTGTCCTGATATAAAATAGTTAATAAAAAAAGAGTGAGTTACACTAACTTAGTGACAATATCAATATATTACCAATTTTATGAAAAATCAAAGAGTTGTAGAAAATAGAAATAATCGATAGTGAAATCTGAATGCTAATGCATCATTTATCAATTTTTATTGAAAACATTCTAATTTCCTTCTCTTACTAATAATCTTCCAAACACATACACAAAGATAAATTAGAATCATATTTGAATCACAGTAAATATGC